TGCTGGCAGAGTTTTCATATTATTTTAAAGGAGAGATTTTAAAAAATTAACAATTAAATTACCAACTCCTTCTCAGGAGATAACAACAGAGTAGGTGTGCAAGCCTTGGAGATCCCTGGCTCCTAGTGTACACGTGGAGAAGACAGCAACAGAGTAGTTGGTTTAGTACTTGTAATCCTGCCAAATCAAATATTTTAGAAAGGTGTCTCAAAAATATCCACGGTAACTTTTTGGATGCTTAGCCATAAATTAAAGTGGAAAAAAGTCCTTTTTTTGACTGGGATTACCTACCGCTGTCTACTAATATAGTGTTTGTGAGTATAAGTATATACTTGATAGAGCTGCACGTAAGAACTCGGCATCCTCCGAGCTCCCTAATGCAACGTCCATGATTTCCGGAGGCGCCAAAGTAAGAATAGGTGCAGGTAATAGTCCAGAGACTTCACAGTGATCATCCTGATGCTCCTAAAAGGGTATTTCGAATAATGATAACACATCTGAAGCAGATCCCCCACTGTGTGCTGCCTATATGACTTTTAAAAAAAAACATTCAGCATGGTTATGTTAATGAAGGAGCACGTATCTCTGGCTTTGACTGATGATGCGAAAATTGTAGCATCACTAACTGGAATCGGTTCACAAAGAGCTTCGGTCTGGCAGGAAGGAGGAAAGAGTGCTGGTGTAAAGGATACAGCAAGGTGAGATTTGTGGGAGAAAGATAGAGAGAAAGCACTTTGTTCATAAATTATAAAGCAAACAATGATACACGATAACCGCCAGCTTCCTTGTGCTTTCCTTTGAAGTTATAAATCAATACCACCCTCGATTAGGTACAATTATAGACTTTCTCACAGTATTGCATTTATGAGACAGACTGACAGTTTGACAGAGTCCATCAATCAACAGTCTCCGGAGAAATTACACAATACTGATACATGCTATATTTTCCTAAAGACAAATACAGGGTGTAGCAACAAAATCACAGCAACTGCTGCTGATATATTGTCGTGTTTCAATAGATTGTTCTTTGCAGGCTTCTTGTAGCAAAATAACAAGAAGTCATACAGCATCATGTACACTCATTGAAGGAAGAAAATGATAATAATAAAAAAAGCCAGGACCTGCATAAAAAGTCCTTGCTGCAATCTGGAAACATGCTTAAGGAAAATTGCGTAATGTAGTAGAAAAAAATAGCAAAGCGAGATATGAGCGAAGAGAATGTTCAGGACAAACTCATCTTTCCATAATCCCCTAGTCTCTGTGCTCCCACCCTCCTTTCCAACCTCCAATTACAAAGAGAAGAAATGCCCCGCTTCTTCACTCCACAGAAATACACAGGCTCTACATCAGAACTCAATTTGGTTTGGTAATGAGACTGCGCTTGTGCATTTCCCCATGCAGACAGCCCAATCTTCAATTGCCTGCACACATGGGGGCTTTTCTTAGCAGGAAGGCTCTGAGGAAATAGGCTGGTAAAAGTGTTGCCTTTTTTCATTTGGATGAAACTTACAGCTCACCTTGTGTAGTCTTTTGAAAAATGACCTTGAGAAATTTGTGATATCTGAAGACAACATACTTTTAAACTGAAGCCTTGAAGATTTATTTCTTTTTTGGATACAGAACATGGCATTATATGAAGTGATATAAAAGATTTTACAGAACGCCGGTCAAGGCACTGATTATGCCTTGAAATGCAGCATTTTCTCTTCACAAGCTGATAGTGCGGCGACTGTATCCCCAATGCAGAGCTTCACGGGTTTCTGATAACCCACTGTACAATGTTCTCATACATTTACAGCACAATTTACTTAACCCTGCACTGTAAAAAAAAATTGTGATATAAAAGTATTTTACTATATATTTTACAGGTTTGTACTGTTCTTCTAGAATATCATTAAATTCACATAAATAGACTGTGATTTTACATGTCAAATGTAAATGAACGTAAAATCACTGTAAAGTAATAAAACATAATTTTCTTGTTTTTTAAATGTATCTGTCTATTAGGCCTGCCACGATTAGTCGACTAATCACGATTACGTCGACTATCAAAATTGTCGACGCGTCGTTTGAAGCTTTGTAAGATCCCAAAAGACGCAGGAATAAGTAGTAGGATTTAAGAGTGTAATAACGGACTGAAACAGAAGATGGCAGCACTGCATGTACAAGGATGCCAGCTGCCGTTAAACCCCGAAGAAGAAGAAGTAGCTCTGTCCCAGAATTCATAGCCAGCCCAGCTCAGTTTCCAACAATGGCGGTAGCTAGTTAGTTTTAATATTACTCTTATTATTCTTTCTGGGTCACAAAATAAACGTTTAACATATTTTCAGGTGAGAATGTAGCTGTGTAAACCTCAAATATCTTCTCAGTTTATCAAGTCACCACATATTTTCAAAAGCGCTCCGACGTTTTCCGAGACGTCTGTTAACCACTAGCTCGATAGCTAGCCGGGGGCAAGGCTCACTAGAGCCCGTGAGAACACCCACCGCCGTCTTTCGCTACTCAGGTTAAACATATATAAGTCACTTAGATAACTTAACAATGTTATTGTTTGGCCTTTTTATAGTATTTTATTTGTTCCTGAGTAAGTCGGTTTGGCTGAGATTAAAGTTATAGTTTTTACACAGCTGAATAAACGTCACCAGGCAACTGATCATCAGAAGTGTGAGATGCTCGAGAATATACTCCGGTGTGCTGTTTTTCTTTTAGATAGCAAGGAGCAGATGGCTGAGTTTATTAAACTTCACTTAAACAATCTGCAAATTTCATTAAAATTTAATAAACTATCATCTTGTCTTTATTTTTAGTTAGCACTTACCTTAAACACTTAAAGCTGTAAGCTAATGATAGTTATATAAGAGCAGATGTATGCTGTACGTCTAATGGATGCATGATCTGATTAGTTGACTAATGCAAAAGTAATCGGTGACTAGTCAACTATCAAAATAATCGTTTGTGGCAGCCCTACTGTCTATACATATGCATATTTTGATTGTTAAAGTACATTCACAAATGCATCATAATTTCACAAATATTTGTCCGTTATTTGAAAGATTGAACTGTTAAATCCAAATGTAATGCTATGGAAAAATATATAAAATGATTCGTATAAACTTTTTTTACAATGATTATCATTATTGTTAGTTAGGGTGATCGTGGCTCAAGAGTTGGCAGTTCGCCTTGTAATCAGAAGGTTGCTGGTTCGGGTCCCGGCTCGGACACTCTCGGTCGTTGTGTCCTTGGGCAAGACACGTCACCTACCACCTAATGGTGATACCCTGAGGGGAATTATAAAGTGGAATTGTAAAGCGCTTTGAGGGTTTCATAAAGTGCTATATGAATGCAATCCATTGTTATTTAAACCAACTGTTAACTGTATATTTCTGTACATTTAAATATTATTATTCATATTGCCACATTCATTGACCTTTTTTATAGGTAGTTTCATTGTTTAATCACATTAAATAGTTCCCAATTTAATGTTTAAAAGCACTTGAAAAAGGCAAAATCCCATGTAAAATTAGGGCAACAAACTGTATTGTCATTACTGAAAATAACCGTATTTTCATGGGAAAGTTATTTTCTGGTATTATTTTGGCATCCCAGCTGCCGGAATATTGCTGTTTTTTTAGGATTTTTTTTTTACGGTGTGCAAAGCCTGAACCGTTAAATAATTGTCAGAAAATTAGAATTTTTTAAAAAGTGGAGTGTTTATTGGACCTTAGGGCAAATAAAAAAAAATAATTTAGTGTTTTATTTGTATCATGTTTGCTATAATTATTGCATTAAATGTGCTGGTTTTGCTTGTTCAGGGTTTTTCGGGGCAAAAACAGCCAAATATCACACTGCTGATGCACAAAAACTCACGTGTCTAATATGACACAGGGTTAAGGAGACAAAGAGAGTTCCCATAGCTCACATGAATGTTTTTTTAATTAAACTCCAAACCAATAACACCAGTAATTATTTTCAAATAGCCTGTGTTTTCCATATGTGTCATTAAACAATATGTAAGCTGGTCTGTTTGCTAATCATTTCTCAGATTCCAGGTCAGATTCCTCACCTGCATGGATGTACATGGAAACTTGGGATACTACACTACCTAAACTGGGCTGTTCCTCAAACAGTCTGTAGTTAGCATAAATGTATGTGCAAGTGGTGCAAAAATACTTATCTAATACAGTGGCTCTCAAAGAGGGCCGATAACGCTTTCAGAATTCTTTTTTTGAAAAATATCTCATAACAAATAAATAAATAAATACATCAAATTAAAAACAGGGTAAGGAATAAACACACAAATTACCATATTAAAAAGCTGTGCACAGCAGTCAAAAATAGTGTCTGGGTATGAGGATGAAGGTTTGTCACTATAAACAGAGCTTAAAGCTGAGACATATCAAACCTCAGCACAGTCTATGATGGCTTAACCCGAGCCAGCCAAAAATAAATCAGGCTACACAGTTAAAGATACTCGATTTAAGGCTTTTTTTTTGGTCAGGTCAAAGCATGACTTGCCTGTGTGGCAGAACTGAGGCAACGGTGAAAAACAAGAAAAATGTGTTCAGGTTCTTGCCTCCTTTTCTTTGAAAACTTTGTTTACAGGTTAATCTTACTTTGAACACAAAAAACAAACAAACATTTTATTAAGTTAGTGTGACAAATTATCATTAGTTATCATAAGTTTGGAAAATATGTTGTGCTTTTAAAGGGACGAGATAAAGGGAAACCGATCACTGCCTGCAACTATGTCGAACTCAATGATCCAAAACCATCATTATACGCTTCTGCAAGTTTTTAACATTTAAAATAGGCAAATATACAATGTAATACTTGCTTGTCCTACTTTTTAAAGATGTCCCAGAATGCCCTACCTTTCCATGTAAAGCACGAATCATCCAGATTACATGAAAGGGAAGTAAATCAAGTCTGATTTACACACACTTCAAGTAAAATTACTATCAGCTATACTTTTCAGTGTGTGCAAAGAGGATTGGACTTACATAGTCGTCATATGATTCATGTGTGACTGCTAACAGCGGGGGCCTGTATCCGACACTTGCTGCTGCTGCCCCTCTGGCTCTCGGGACTTGTACCTCCCTCGTCAAAACTGTCGTGGGAAGTTTGCTGTGTGCTGCCGTCGCTGTCCCCCGAGGTGTTGCCGCGCTCCTTCCCGCGCCTCTGTGGCCCCTGGTAAAGCAAAAAAAGCAAACAAACATGGCCTCAACATTGCCCTAAGAACCTTGCTGTGCAACACTCATAAATAAGCCACAGTAAATTAAGTGGGAAAGTGGAATTAAGAAGAAAAAAAAAACCCTCAAACTATATTTAAATCCTTTTTAGTGCTGCATACGTCCACGCTGCCACAGCTGGTGGTTGCCTTACACTGTGCTCAGGTGAAACATAAGATAAACACAGCACTGGGGTAGATCTTGTTATGATCAGAAGGGTGACGAGTGTCACTTTGTGTTTTGTCTGCTCTGCAAACATGCCTGTGGGATGCAACATGGTTATTTCAAAAATGTGACAGAGCGGTGTCATGTCTCCGTTTGCACGATAACACATCTGCCTGAAACCGCTGATTAATGTCAGGCTGCAGGCGGACAGGTGTAGTTTTCAAATACAGCAAGTTGTTACTTGACATGCACCGGTGGAGAGCAAGGGCCAAAGGGCTGGGGCAGACATGAGGAATTTAAGGTAGGTTGTTTCTTTATATAAAAGTCTGACTATCCAGCAGCTCGACTTCATGCTCGGTGTAGGAACTGCAGGGAGGATTTAACATTGCAAAGATGCCTATTTTCTGCTAACTTACATTTTTACAGCATGATACAGCTAGGGTATGGCAATTTGTCTTCCTCCAGCTTATTCTTCACTAGCTGGCAACCTATTGTGATCCAAAAATACAGACACTCAAATGGGAATTATTGGTGCATATTTTTAATGGAGATTTACAAAAATCGCTTATCATTGCAGCATAAGGGGAAAATCTGGAAAAGAAAGTGGTGGTACTGGTGGTGAATTGGGAGCGTCCCAATGTTGCTGGTGGATTTTGCTCATATGGATGTGCTGCCAGAAATAGGCCAGGCTTTCATGGCACACTCTACCTGGTTATTCCAGAGGGACTTCCATAGCTCACATAGATTAAGGTCAGTTTGCTCAACAATTAGATAAATAAATAACTCAAAAGGAGACTTATAGAGGGATGCGTGAACGTCTGATCCAATGAAATGCTCTGTAGCATTTATTGTTTCTGCATAGGCTGGCCTACAGGAGCTACGCGGAAAACAAGTCACATTTTAAATTTAAAAAAAATGAAAAGAAGCCATTAAAAAATATTAAATACAATATGATTAGGAATACTCACAACTGGTTTGCATAAAATACAGAAACATGTACAGGTGAACCAATTAATGTCAAAATTCACCATGAAGGTGGGTGCCTCATTGTTATTTTTTAACACATTTTTTTTGTCATTCAGAGCAGGTTAGGTGCTAGGCTCTGGATTGCCTGCAAATGCATAAAATTACACATTTTTATTGCATTGACTATTAGACATGAGAGATCTTGTTTTTCTTAAACCAGCCTTAAACCATGACAGAGCCCCTGTCATGTTTTACAGAAGAATATAGACTATAGATATGGAATATGGAGTACCAAAAGACCTTTTTGCTGCTGATTTTAAAATCAGTTGTTGTGTAATTTTTCATACCTCAGCCTTTTCTTCCTGTTTCCCTTGTTTAAGAATGGCTTTTTGACAGCTGTGCTTCCATGGTGATGATTTCTAATGAGGTTGGGCGAACAGTAGATGCATATTTCTACGGAGCCCCCCAGGGGACATGGGAGAAAAAAAAATTAGGGAGGAAAAAAAAAAAAATTAGGGAGGAAAAAAAAAAAAATTAGGGAGGAAAAAAAAAAATAAGACGGACTTTTGCGAGATCTCGCAAAAGTATTGCGAGCGCTCGCAAAAGTATTGCGAGATCTCGCAAAAGTTTTAGCCGCATTCTTCGGAGGCCGCCAGCTCGAAGCCGACCGGGAGGTCGAGGCACGATGTGCCGGGAAAGCGGTGTTCCTCCCGGCTGTAGTAGGTCTCGACTTCCCGTTAGCTTCGAGCTAGTGGCCGCCAGCTCGAAGCCGACCGGGAGGTCGAGGCACGATGTGCCGGGAAAGCGGTGTTCCTCCCGGCTGTAGTAGGTCTCGACCTCCCGTTAGCTTCGAGCTAGTGGGTGTCAGATCTCCAAAAACCTCGGAGCTCTTTTGCAAATATGTGATGTCTTGTAAACCGAGCAGGTATCTGACGTTTACACAACTACATTCACGCCTCAAAATATCTTAAAAGTGTATTTTGTGACCCAGAAAGAGTAATATTACAACTAAGTAGCTGCCGCCATTGTTGGAGTTTTGCGAGATCTCGCAATACTTTTGCGAGCGCTCGCAATACTTATTGCGAGATCTCGCAATACTTTTGCGAGATCTCGCAAAAGTCCGTCTTATTTTTTTTTTTCCTCCCTAATTTTTTTTTTTTCCTCCCCAATTTTTTTTTTCTCCCATGTCCCCTGGGGGGCTCCGTATATTTCAGGTCCTGTATTCCATCTTTGCTGGATTTTTTGCTATTTCTTAAAGACATGACTTTGAGATACTGTTGCTGTAGATATACCAAGTTTTCAGCAACAAGCTCTTTAGGAATCACTTTGTTGGTACAAAAATACTATTTTATGCCATTCATGGTAAATTCAAGTATTTTTGGATACTTCAGCTAAAGAAGTTTTAGCAGCAGCCAAGAAGTTACAAAGTAAAAAGTGCCTGAAGCAATTTAGAATTGTTTCTTGTGTAAACATGAGACTGGTTTGGGTGATTTTTTTATGCTTGAATGCTCCATAGGTCACTATTAAGTGGCCTAACAAACAAGTGGTCAAGTACAAAGACTGCGCTTAAAAACTGGTAATAAACCAGCCAGTGTCCAAAGGAAAAACTCGGAAAGACCTTCAAACATAAAAGTATAGTTTAAGAAGACTTAAAAAAATGCAGTTCAGAATATAAAGAAATGAAATGTGAGTTTGGCTTTTGCACAGATGTAAGCAAGTGAATTCATAAAAGAGTAGAAATAAAATGAAATGGTTTTAAATATCACACAAGAAACACACCAGTAAAAATGATAAAACACCAAAAATAAAAAATAATTTAAATAAACTAATAATTAGGATGAGAAGTGTCTGTATAAATATTATGTATTTATGTGTGCTTGTGAGTGTAATTAAAACTTTACCTTGTGGTTATTGCGGTTGTTGGTCGTAGACACCTCCCTTGAACACTCCTCCCTCTGCTTGACTCGTCAGAGCCGTTCAACAGGGATAACTCTCGGAGTTGTTCCTGCCTGATCTCGTCATTGTAATCCTGTGGAAACAAAATGCAGCACGTCTCGTAAGAAAACAAAACAGAGAAGGTCATTTGTCTTCTGACTGCAACAGATGCTTGCAACAGCAGCAAATGTCATCAAATTAAAATTATCTCGACACCCAAGGGGAGCTTGTGGCTTTGCTGAGCGGTGACTAGCCAGTGAAGAATCTTTTGGTTATGGTTTGACTCAAAACGCAGAGGAAAGATTAGTGGTGGAGAAAAAGGCAATAAATATTTCTCAAATGAGCCGCGGGTTTGTTGGGGAAAGAAGAAAAACTATTTTCCTGTTTAGGTTTCGAAGACTAGTGTTAACTTCCCAGATGGCCTTAAAAAAGAAAAGGTGTCTAACCAAAAAATTTAGGGCAAGATTTATCTTGATGTTGGATGAGGAGAACAGAAACGGGAAATTAAATCAGACAAATATTTTTCTCACTTTAATGCAATACAAAAATAGCCCTTGATTTGTCTGCACACAGACTGTAATTGACACTTTCAACAACTTTGCGTGGAATATCGCTATCTTGCGATTCTGAACCATTTTTCTCAGCCCGCTATCAACATGATATGGATCGCTACACAGCAGATAAGGAAGTGGACAAAACAGCCTTCATTATCTTGTCACTGGTGACAGATAAACAAGTGTGGGGTTTTTTTTTTTTTACGAAACACTTAAACCGAGTCCACAGGATTCAATACCATGGGCGAAATGTTTCTATAATGACACCAAGGCAGCAACAGATTTCTTTGGCTGTCACTGCTTATGACAGCACATTACGACCGCAGGATCTGGTGTCACAGACTAAAAGGAGAGCCCCAAGAAAAATACGTCCTCTCGAACAAACATAAAAACCCAATATATGTTACGATGAGCAGCAATTTCAACTTTTACTCTTGAAAGAGCCAATTTGTGGTGTCCATTGTATGGACACCACACAGAATTATTCTGTGTGCACATTTGTCACACTTCACATTCCAACAAATTTTAATATTAGACACTGATAACCCGAATAAAAACAAAATCCACGTTTTAAATCATGATTTTATTTATTAAGGGGGGAAAAAGATGTTCAAATTTATGTGGCCCTGTGTAAAAAGGAAATTGCATCCCTTCCCTTCTCCTTGATAAAGAGAAGGGAAGGGATGCAATTTGTCTGACAAAGTGAAGTAGGCTTAAAGTCCTCAAAAAGCAACACATCATGTCATGATTTAAAAAACCCTTAAGAACAGGCTTAGAAACAAATGCATTGACATCTATCAGTCCGTAAAAGGTTACAATCCTTTTCTAAGGGTTTGGGACTCAAGTGAACAATGGTGAGAACAATTATCCACAGATGGAGAAAACAGTGGTGAACCTTCCTAGGATTGGTGGGTCTGCCAAAAATACTCCAAGAGCGCTTCAATGACTCATCCAGGAGATCACAAAAGAGCAGGGAAAAGCATCTAAAGAGCTGCAGGCCTCTTTTCCTCAACAATAAGAAACTGACTGGGCATAAATGGCATCTATGGGAGAGTTCTAAGGAGAAAACCACTGCTGACCAAAAAGGACACAAAGGCTCACATTTGCCAAAAAACATCTTGATGTTCCCCAAGACTTTGGTGAAAATGTTCTGTGTACTGATGAGATAAAAGCTGAATTTCTTTGGGAGGTTTTAGACCCGTTACATCTGCTGCAAAACTAACAGAGCTTTTCATAAAAACCTCTGTGGTAGTGTGATGGTAGTGTCTGGGGCTGCTTTGCTGCTTGGTGATGGAACCATGAATTCTGCTCTCTACTCCTGAAGGAGAATGTCAGTCTACCAGTTTGTACCTGAAGCTCAAGCTCACTTGGGTTATGCAGCTGGACAATGAACCAAAAAATTTCAAAAACAAAACCAGAATTACGTTTTTTTGAGTGGCTTAGACAAATTTCAGACTCAAATCACATTGAGATGCTCTGGTATGACCGTAAACAGGCTCCTAATGTTGGAAAGCCCTAAATGTGGCTGAATTAAAGCAATTTGGCAAAGAAGAGTGGGCCAAAATTCCTCCACAATAATGTGACTCATTGCCAGTTATCACATGCTTGATTACAGTTTTTGATGCCAAGGGTGGCATCAGCAATTATTATGTTTAGGGGACAATCAATGCAAGTTATCAATTACAACAATGTTAAATAAATATAAAAATGATTTTAAAATGCAATTTTTTATTTCTATTTTCAAAGTCATCTGTTTTTTTTGTCATGGGCGGGTGGACAAAGGAGCCAGAGGCACAGGTTCAATACCCCTGACGTGGAGTTTAGTCCTTTCCTACCTACCGGCCAGGCTTATGGATCACATCACATTTAGTCATGAGGATATTACAAGACATCATTTACCCACTCTGTGATTTGCATAGTTAGGACTGAATGTAATCAGATCTTCAACAAAAGCTTATTATTAGATTAAACTAATTCTGTGTGAACACAAAAAAATCTGAACTCATTAACTGTCTAAATGTGTGAAATGTAACCCTTTTTGCAGACTCGTTATCAGTCGTCAGTTTTAGCAGACAAATCTGCAATCACGCTCTTCTTTAATTTATTCATAATTTTCCTCAGGATCAAATTTTTCAGCCACATATTGTCGAAGGATTTGCAGCACACACTGTTCATTTTTCAAACTGTAGAAAGAATATCTAAAAACAAGAGGTTAGTGTCTCTCTACTTAAATTGTCTTCTCCTTCTTTACATGTCTGACCTTCACTGTTTCTTAAGAAGTTAATGGAGCATGATTTTGAGGTGGAAAAAAAGAGAAATTTTTATCATTTTTATAGTGAGCAACCTTGATTCGGTGAATGTGAACACATTCGATACTGTTGCAGCAAAACTGAGCATTCATTAAACTGCAGCATGTCAGACATGTCTTCATTTACAGTAACAGGCTGTGTGTCATGCACAGGCCATATGATGAACAGATTATAAAGACTGAAAACACTGACACCAACATACCGTGAAAGAAGAAAATGAAACCATGGTGGTGGACATGTGACAGACGGTGCACGTTCTTATAATGAACAAATAAGGCCTACAGCATTCTGTTTAATTCAAGGAGACTGGCAGAGCTCTTAATAAGAAATCTGGCAGCTCATTCAAAGCTCAACAAACCTGCCAGAGCTTGTGAAAGTAGACTGTTGACAAAGGTGTTAACATGAGTATACAGAGATAAAGCCCAAGCTGAGGCTTCTCGAGCCAGATTGTTTGCTCACTGTGATTAATTCTGACCATGCATGACCTTGTACACATGCAATGCCCTTCACAGAGCTTAAGTTAGACTTAAAGAGGTCAACGCATGAAGTGCAGCGTTACCAATCATTGTGATGTTTGCGTCTGCCAGCTATTTGTCTCTGTGGCCAGAAAAAAACAAGTCAAATTAATTTGGCATTCTTCAATCATCAGCTTTATTATAAGTGACGCTGTCATGTCAGATCACCTTTGACACCTGCGGCAGTATTGAACAAGGTAAATACATTAATCAAACAAAAACATCATATTAAAAGACATGAACAAACCAAAGAAAATGGATCAGTCTTAGCTTTTGAATAAATCGTGTGACATTTGTTGGATTACAGTGATTATATAAGATTGTTTTGTTTCCCAACATAATGCATTTAAGGGGTAGAGTTGTGCTATTAGTGCTATTATTGTGTTTGAAGAATCAAAAAGCTGTGTACTCAGAGACTCACTAGATTCGTAGAAATGTCTGGCAGTGTGAATGTATGTATTTGAATTTGAAGGTGTTAACAAAATCTATGTTTAAATGTGGGTGCTATGCATCAGGTAAACTATGCCAGTACCAGGCTGGACCCTCAGAACTGCCTTCATTCTTTGTGGTATAGATTCAAAACGGTGCTAGAAACGTTCCTGTGATGTTGGTTCATCTTGACGTGATAAAAACATGCAGATTTATCAGCTCCACATTCATGATGTGAATCTTCTGTTCCACCACATCCCAAACGTGCTTTGTTGAACTGAGATCTGGTGACTGTGGAAGCCATTTGAGTACAGTGAACTCCCTGAGATGTTTAAGAAACCAGTTTGAGATTATTTAAGCTTTGTGACATGGTGTGTTAACCTGCTGGAAGCAACTTGACTTAGTGTTAAGAAATATATTCTAAAACACTTCTTCAGTAAAGACTCAGAGAAGAGAAACACACAGAACTTCTTGCTAGCAAGGGCAGTCTCCAGAACTGAGACTCACGCTGAGAAACTGCCCCGGTCTTTATTTATACTTCAGTGAGCGTTTGTTCCTTACATTGGAATGTGGAGGTGTACGTGTGTGTGTGTG